AAGTGCTATCGTCAGTGTACGCGGTCTTTTAAAGAAATTTGGACGTTCCAGTGGTCTGATTCTTAGCTTGAGGAAAATTGTCTCTGGATCCAATTTGGTAAACGCATGGCTACGGCTGGAAGATCTAGAGTATGGTTGGTTCAGGATAACTGATATTTTCTGGAGAAAATGACTTTTTTTCTGGACTTAGATCGACAAGTTTGGTGACTTTTGATATAGTTTCCATGGTATGCCTAAAATTCTTTGGGTAAATTGCTGTTACAGTTTTAGAAAGTTGCTGTTCTTAGTTTAAGGAAATATAATAATACAGAAAAGTGCATGCCTTTCAACGCTGTTCAAACACGGTAACTTGTTTTTTTAAAACCCAGGCCCTAACCAATTGCTTTTTTCAATCACTGTATGCTAGTAATAGAATACAGCGATTTTTGTTTTGCTGTCACTGCCCAAAACTGGCCAACTATGTTAAGGCCTGGGTTTGACCTTGACTACATTTTTGTGAACTTGGAAACATTTTCATCATAAAATATAAATTTTCTTCATATTGACATATTTAGCTAGTTTAGCAGCTTTTAGCACTTTTTTGTTGTTTAGGGAAAATCACGTGGTCTATGACGTCATTAAAAAGGAAAATAGAAAAATGCGGCCGCGAATTTTAAACAATCGCAAATGTTATGCACGTAAATATCATTGCTTGACCAACAGAAACAAATTGCCGATTGGAAAATTGGAATGTATATTATCTTTAAAAAGATATTTGGATAAAATCTTGTCACGTGACCTATAACGGAATATCTCCTAAAGTACGAGTCAAAGGCAGGTTTTCCAAGCAGATTTGAATTCACCTTTGGGAAGCAATCCATATTCCATAAATAGAAATCTTGTTGCTTTGAAACTCGGGACCGCATTAAGATCTAAAACCTCTTTAAGACCCTTTTATCCTTTAAAAAGTCCCAAGTGATCACGTGACTAGTTGTAAATATTTCTTTTATGATTGTCAATAAACCCTCAGAGTTTCACTAATTTTTCATTGGGTTTTGGTTCAAAAAACTGAAAAGAATATTTTCTTACAATGAACACGAGGCCTCAACATACTTCAGTGAAGAGATACAATATAACTACATTACGAGCGGTACAGAAATTGAATCTTTCTTATTGGTTTGTTTAGCTCCACCTTATCTTCAATGAACAAAAGAAAGGCTCTAGTGTTTGTATACATATGTAACATTTCATATAGGGAAAATAAAAAAGAAAAGAAATGAAGGAAAATAATCAAAAAGCCACTAAATATTATCAAAAATGTGTCTCCTATTCATAAAACGCATCTCATGACGTCATACTGTCATGTGACAAATGCTACTATTATCCCGTTGAGGCAGAGGAATACCAGCAGTCAAGAGAAATGTTTAGTAACTGATTATTACATTTATGGTTAAATGCTATAAAACGGTATTATACATTTATGGTTGGTCTCGAATATTACATTTATGGTTAAAAGTTATTACATTTATGGTAGGGTCGATTATTACATTTATGGTTGATCGTTATTACATTTATGGTTGTTATTACATTTATGGGTAATACAACAGCGTACTAACGTAATAGCGCACTAGTCTTCTAAGCCGTTCTAGCGTGCTTAGTGTAATATTGCGTACTAGCGTTCTATCGTTCCATCTTTCTAGCGTACTAGCGTTCCATCTTTCTATCGTTACAGCGTACTAACGTAATAGCGCACTAGGTCTTCTAAGACGTTCTAGCGTGCTAGTGTAACTAATATTGCGTACTAGCGTTCTATCGTTCCATCTTTCTAGCGTACTAGCGTTCCATCTTTCTAGCGTACTATACTACGTGTTCTCTCGTACTAAGCGTTCTATCGTACTAGCGCACTAGTGTTATTTCGTACTAGCGTACTAGCTTCGTACTAGCTTACCAGCGTTCTATTTTACTAGCGTAATCGCATTCTAGTTTTCTAGCGTATTAGCGTTTTAGCCTTCTAGCGTTCTTCCGTACGGAGCGTTATATCGTACTAATGCACTAGTCATTGCCAGAAATTTCGGACAAAATGGCGTCGGGCATGCGCATTTTGCATAACAATGGCGGCCATACAGCCGTATAAAATGTATGGGAGACGGTAAACTTTCCTAAATAAGAAATCTAATTCTTTATATTTCTCTCTTCTCTACATCGAATTATAATCGGGAATGCAGTGGTTACATGTTAGACCTAAAATGAGCTTCTAGAATATTATCCTCGTGGTTCCTCGGCTTCTGACTTTTTCTGCACTCAAAGGCCATACATTCTCTCTTAATTTGCTATAAATTTGCATACCTTAGTCACTTCAAGATGAAAATTGTATACGAAATCGTCGACTTGGACAACTTCTCCGCATCGGTTCACGTAGACGAGTGTTTAGCTGATTCAAAACAGCTTTTAGACTGCGATATAAAACTACTTTGAAGGTTCCCACGAAGGATGAACTTTGGTTATTTTCTAGGCTAGAAGTCGCCATGATATCTCTTAAAAATTTCAAAAAAACGCTTAAAAAAGAATCAAAACACACCAAAATAATCGCTGTGCTGCCATTTTGCTTTTYGAAGCTTTTATTGCATGCTGGGAAGCAATCAGGGAGCCCAAGGCCTTCCTTTTTTGATTTTCACGTTTGCAGTGGATTTAGAGCTCTTGGGCTTCCTGTGGCGAAACATAACAATAGAAATTGGAGCTTTTTTTGGAAAATCGCTCTATATTATCATATTTCTGTTTTATAAGCCTTTATTTAGTACTAGTATGTCTTTTCAAGCCGTATTTGTACTTTTTTTCTTAAAAATAACAACATTCTATRATTTTTGATAAATGTCCCAAATTTCTGGCAATGGTTATGTCGCACTAGCGTAATAGCGTATACAACTCTAGCTACAGCATCGGTCCATGTGCTCCGCTACCTTCGGCCCGCGCGGGAGCCCTGTGTCGGTCCATGTGCTCCGCTAGCTTCGGCCCGCGCGGGAGCTCCACTAAAAAAAAATCATTTAATAAATCTGTTTGCAATGATTTTTGAAAATAGTTAAATTTCTACAAAATTTCTTTTTTTTTATATAATATTTAATATAGAGGATATAACATGGGCGCGCGGAGATACGGATTTTATCTTCGAGTGTTGAAAAGATAGATTTTCAACACGAGAAGATAAAATTCGTATCTCTAAGCAAACATGTAATATTCTATTTATCATATAATTGTATATGAAAGCAGATTATGTCGTAATATAAATTGAGAAACCTCGAATGTGTTATCTTTACTAGTGAAATAACATGTTATTTTCACTAGTGAAAATATCAAGTTTACGAAATGGAGAATATAGGTATATCATAGATAATTATATGATAAAATTATTTATTTATACTTCTATTTTTGATCTCATACAGCCTTTTGCAAAAATTATGAGAATTGTCTAAATATCTAAATATCATAATCCATATCYATATATTGTCCGGAACACACGGGTTTGCTAGAATAATTCATTGYTGACATCGAGAAAATGTTCAGAACTACGGATAAGTCTGTCGCCAAAAAAACTAAACAACAAAGACAAGGGACTAAGGGCATMGCGCGGGATCATGCACTTGATATTATGATATTTATATATTTCAACAATTCTCAWAATTTTTGCAAAAGGCTGTATATCTCTTTTCAGTTTCTCTTTGTAATAAGACATCACCGGAAGCCATTTTCATCGACCTCTGCTCTGATTGGCTGACAGCAAATCAAGTTACAAATTAACATACATGCCGAGCAAGCATGACGTCTAAGTGATAATTTGGCGGCAGACTTGTAAATACAGTTGGCTTTCTTTGGGAGTAAGTTTTATGGCAATAGAAAGAATGTACGTAGTTTCTACAGTGATTTAGATGTTTGTTAAAATGATTTCTACAAATCCTTGGAGCTGATTATCGTTATAGGTAAGCCATTGGTAACTCGATTCATGCTTGTTTGAAGAAGTTTTCAATAGTTGTTCAAAAATCCATTTCACGGGATTTGAATGACATCAAGTTGATCCCTAACGTTAAATCTAGTCTTTTGATTAAATATCCTTATTCGAGATATCACTTTTGTGATGTAATTCCTCTTTGTAATCCAAAGAATGATCGTACGACGAAACTGTTGTTTGATAACTATGAAACAATTTGCATATTGACTTGTAGGACCGGCTTCATATACTCTACTTACATTTGTATTTCTTATCATTCTTGACTTAGGAACCGATGTGTAGTGCGTTGAATCGAAATTGATTTAAATTTTCAACTAGACGCTCAGTGAGCGCTCACATGGGCTTCCTTGTGCATTAGGTGACACTGGATCATTTTGATTTTACTGTAAATAATCATTTAGTCAGTATTTGCTGATCTCAGTAGTGTTGACATGCACAGCCAAAAGTTTTGTGGCTCATTTGTCATTGTCCCCTGGCTATTGCATAACTGTAAGTATAGTTTACAACATGAGCGGCCGTGGACGTGAATGTTGTAAACGACTTATAAAACTCCAACACAAAGTAACATGAATTACAGTGAGATAAATGACGAAAAATGACAAATAAGGTAACTGCTGAGTTCAGTCCCTAAATTTACTGCAACACAGAACATTTTGAATAATTATCCATCCCACATGGAAAGCAAGCCATCTGTTGCATAAGCGAGTTCTGTTATCCGTCTTTGATTGCTTCAAAACCTAGTGAAGGTCTATGATGCGACACTAAAACTGAGACCTTTGCTAGTGTTGGGTTGTCTCAATGGTGACGACCGTGTTGTAAATCTGATACAACCACTAGTGGTTGTATCAGATTTACAAGGTCAATCACCTGATTAAATGGTCAGCCCTTATTGGAGCAATAGCTTATGCATTATTAATAAGTTTTATAANTAGTGTTGAGCGAATGTGTTTGGTGTATTACCGACTAGTGTTGAGCGAATGTGTTTGGTGTATTACCGACTAGTGTTGAGCGAATGTGTTTGGTGTATTACCGACTAGTGTTGAGCGAATGTGTTTGGTGTATTACCGACTAGTGTTGAGCGAATGTGTTTGGTGTATTACCGACTAGTGTTGAGCGAATGTGTTTGGTGTATTACCGACTAGTGTTGAGCGAATGTGTTTGGTGTATTACCGACTAGTGATTGAAAGTTATGCTGAAAAGTGTACTTGAAGGACAGATATTACTTTTATAGCAGATGGCAATGGTTTACATGTAGTCTACACTGAATCATCTCTGAAGCAGACAATCTTAACTTATTGACAAACATCGTGCTAGCTGTCATAATGCTATACACACAGCGACAATAACAATAAAACCGAGTTAATTATCACTCGTTGATCTCTAGTATGAATAATTTCTTTTCCTTTTATCAGTCAACCAACCGCCGACAACGACACCACAGAAATGGCAACTGGTATTAATGATGGGGGAAACGACGGAACCAAGTCAAAAAACCTTGCGCACTTGAACCTTACTGAAACTCAGCTCAATGCATTGTCTTACAGCCTGTCTGAATTAGCCGAAAAAATATCGCCTACGAAAAATGAATTTATCGATGAAGTAGAATGGGAATTGAAAACAGCCGCTGAAGGTTTGGGAATTGATCGGTCAAGCTCGTTAAGCCGTCAACGAGGATGTTTAGAGCAACCTAACACACGAACAAAAACACCGTATACTAAAACAAGAAAAAATGGAATTAAACACCCTCTTTCGAAACAAAAAAGTTTTACTAAAGGCAAGCAGTTGCTATCAGCGTCGAATGAAGGTAATGAAAATAGTCAGTCTTTTAATAGAGTGTCGCACCAGGAGTCTGTTGAGTCAGGATATAACTCGTCTTGGTCATCAAACAGTTTTAACGAAGACAAAAACAACGCGGACACTGACATTGAAGAAGAATCAGTATTCAGCGATTCAAATACAGATAAATACGATGCGCAAGCTATCGAAACGAAAATTTCAGACGTTGAAAAAAGAATAAATTCGCTGATTCTCGGTCGAACAGCAAGTGAGTTGGGAACAACTGAGGTGAAACCATCGAGTGAAGAAAAATCGCAGGAAAATGTTGACAAACCATTAGAGAAGCGAGAATCGATGRATACTAGTAGTGAAACGGCACAAAATGAAGGCGCTGGGGTGATACCTGACGAGCATATTGAAGGCGACGAAAAATCCACAGGCAGCTCGGCGAACGGTGAAAACGAGTTGAAAAAATCACCATTCCAAGTCCACAAGGTCAGAAAGACCTCACTGGACGATATTACAAAAAGCGCTCAAAAACCTACACGACCTGGTCTTGTGCGCAGGCGCACAACGCTTGTTACATTTCGTCCGCCACGGAAAACATCGGCGTTCAGCGAAGTGGATGATAGTGGTGTGTTAGAGATCGACGAAGCTGGGTTTGTACAGTGCCTCACTGATGTGCGCTCAATGAAGACAATGCTTCTTAAACTGAAGAGAGAATTGCAGGAGGTATGTCGTCACTGACAATATGGTTTGTCTTTATGTAGCATTTTGTATGTTTGTCAAATTCTTTTATGAAGTCGCCACCCTGCACACGACCCTGTTTCAAATAGCATCTTACGCACCCCCACCCTGCACACGACCCTGTTTCAAATAGCATCTTACAGGACCTTCAGCAGCCATGACAACTCATGCTCTTTTCATTTTTGCATATTTGTTGGTCCTTGTCACATTTATCTTATGTTACCGCTTGTTTTAGGCCGAAGTTCAGTCACCATTGAGCAGAAAATTGTCAGCCTCATCAAGAAGTACATCGAACTTAGCCAACAGTGTTAGTGTGAACGAGACGGCAGATGAGGTAACGACCAATTAAAAATCACACGCATGATGTCAATAAAACTGTATGATCACAATCCTGTCCATAACGRAGACAYTGCTCATCCGTCAACGTCATGTCAACAATGTTGATTCCATAAATAAAGATCTTTCTTTTCTAGTCTTTACATTGATTCATCTACGTTAGCTTCCCATCGTGCTATCAACACTACTGAATTCTGTCCAATAGCCATATATTTTACTTCATATACCGTCATGCATCGCATGGTTGTTTTCATTCTAGGAGACTCGGCGACATACATATGACTCTAGTGAAGCTATACACAAGAAACTCCAACGAATTCGATCTCAGTCGAGGAGAAAGCACTCGAGTTGTACTGAGAGCCCACTGGAAGACATGTCAGCGGCAGAGCAAAATAATTCCGCGGGTTCGTCAGAAGTGACTGCGTCAAGCGCYGATAAGAGCAGTGATGTCGCGAAAATGAAGGAAGAATTGGATGATTTGAAGCAGAAAATGAAKSGACTTCAACAGGTCAGATTCATGACACTTTKATGATGCTCAAGTCTTTGATGTTKTCGCACTTTTAAACAATTATCACGCAATTACACAATTTTTAGAATGTATTTTGTTTTTCCTTAAGGAACGAGACACATTATTCATGGACAAAGAAGAAATTGAACATGAACTGGAAGCCAAAAACCACACCATCAAGATGCTACAGAAACAACTGGTAAGGCATGATGAACTCAACAATGAACAAACCAACCCATCATTGAAAACCCAAACCAACACAACTTAACAACCTAACCAAGCAACCCATCATTGAAAACCCAAACCAACACAACTTAATAACCCAACTAACCAACCCATCATTGAAAACCCAAACCAACACAACTTAATAACCCAACCAAGCAACCTATTCAACCCATCAATCAATCCATCAGTAGATGAATCGGCATGTGGGCACTTACTGGCAAAATCCAAACAGTCTATTATCTATCGTCGACTATAGTCCAAGTAAAAATAAGTAATAAAACAACAGTCGTGTCGTACCGCCAGGAAAGTTCTTAGAATTCCGGCTTTAAGAATATATAAATACATTCTTTTGTCTTTTATGTAATGTATTCCTTTTTAAGAAGAAATATTTTATTTTCTTTCTGAGCACTTTTTGCGTCTATGTGTAACCAAACATTATTCTCA